GCTGCTGGGGACAAGGGGACACAAGGGACAAGCATTTTGGGATGCTACAGCCAAAATCCATGCAGCAGCGAGCGGGGTGACCTGTTTCTCATGTGCTTCCATCCCTCTTTGGGTGTGCTGTGAGGGTGCCTCAGTTTCCCCAGGTGGTGTGCAGGGCGGTGGGGCTGGGAGGGGGGACCCCACGGTGCCCAGCAGGCCCCGGCACTCTGCCCTCCCCCCCAGCACGACCCCTGGGTGCTTGGTGATGGGGTTGTGGATGCTTTTGCTCTGGCTGGAAAGTCCAAAGCCATCCCGTAAGCTGCTGCGGGGGTAGGATGCTGTGCTGGGGCTGAATGGGGCACACAGGGCTACACATGCGGCCACCCCGCGGTGAGAGCCACCCTCCCCTCTGTCACCCTGCAGCCACCGCCATCCCGAGGGCCTCTTGCTCATCGCCCTGTGGTGTCACTGCGGGGAGAGGGGTGCGGGAGCGCAGGGGTGGCTGTGCCCGGTCCTGGTCCCCGTTCCTGTCCTCATCCCCGGGTGAGAACCCGTCCCCGCGGTCCCCAGGAGATGGCAGTGCTCTGTCATGGGAGATGTCTGCTGCTCACCCCAGGGTCACGGACATCTCCGGGGACATCCTGGCTGCTTGGGACAGGCCTCGCTGGCTTCCTTGGCAGGTCCTTATACTGTCCCCTTGCCCACGGCCATGGCTCAGAATGGAGAGCACGCCCGTGGTCCTGCGCCCACCCCCAGCATGGGGGTCCTGGCTCCCAGCCCCACCGTTACCTGTGTGAGGGCTCTCACCTCGGGCAGCAGTGGCTGGCACGTGTAGGAGGAATGAGGCAGGGGTGCAGAAGTGGGTCCCTGAGTGTCCCCCGCCATCCCTGTGGCTCCCACCTCAGCGGTGCTTCGCTGTGACCCCCCTCACCCAGGCAGCCCTGTCCTGGGGGACCTCCCAACCCCAAACCCCTCTGCCCAGGCAGGGATGTCCAGGCAGTCCAAGGATACAGGCAAGGCAGGCAGCAGTGCTGGGGGGGGGCCTCCATCTGCCCCATGGCCCCAGAGTGGGCAACCAGGGCCCCAGAGTGGGCAACCAGGGCCATGGGGCAGTTACCAGCCTGGGCCATGGTCACCCTACCGGGGGGCTGGCTGGGGGCAATGTGGGCTGTCGGGGCGCTGTGGGGGCAGCCCCCGTCCCCATTG